ACTGGACGTGAGAAAGTGTGACATTATCTTCAATTTTATCTCATTTGCCATTAATTACACCAACATCTTTTGAAAATTTCAAAGGTTAGTAGCCGCTTACATCATGCACAAAGTAGCTGCAATCATTGATAATATCGGTAAAAACTTGTTAAAGAGTGTTTATCCAATTATTTCTCTTTACAAAGTAAATAAAGACGATGCTATCATAATGAACAATTGATACGCGATGATGGACTTAAACCGGAGGGGGGATAACTAGCGTAATATTTACACGTCATGATATGTACAAAGTACCGCAACGCCAATTTAGTTTCCTGTGACCGCATGAGGTCAAAGGCTTTAGTAATAAGCCAATTAGACCTATAATAGATCGGTGTTTCGTATAATCCTTTTGTACAACGCTTAAATAAATGTTCTTCTCATTAGTTGAATTATTGATAGCCTTTGGCGCTAAAGAAAAGTGGAATTAATTAAAGCAATAAGTATTCGATGCATTTCATTTTCGGTATTCGAAACATTTTAAATTTTGAAAAAATATGGCATTTTAAATAATGGTTTTTATAGAAGATATGTAAATGTTAAAACAAAATCAGTTGAAGAATTTGAAAATTGGATCCCTTACCACCAATCGTATATATAACACCTCGGCTTTCTCCATCAACTCTATTGAAGATGCCCGAGGTGTTCCGAGCGGTCCTTCAAGGTGGACTGATGAAAGTCATCAATGATATTGATATTAACTCACTTTCATGTATGACATGGGAGTAATATATGCGCATTATCATAAAAAATCTTCAAATATTTCCAGTATTTCCATGTACTGTATCATTTAATTTCTTTACAACTTGTGTCCGAACAAAGACATAGTACTATAGTCCATTGGTTCAAATATGTCAACAAATAATTAGTCAACATCCTAAGTAATATTTGATCTTCTCCGATTTCTAATAGGAAGAATACTTTTCGTTCTGCTAATGCCATAAGCATTTCCCTAATAAGGTATTATAGGGAAACATATTTTCTGATACAGCTCTAAGACGGTGTTATACATGTAGTAAATTTGAGCCGCGCCACGACAAAACCAACATAATGGGTTTGCGACCAGCATGGATCCAGACCAGCCTGCGTATCCGCGCAGTCTGATCAGGATCCATGCTGTTCGCTTACAAACCCTATTACAAGTAGAGAAACTGATAGCGAACCTGGATCTGGACCTGGAGCGAGTCTGGATTCATGCTGGTCGCAAACCCACTATGTTGGTGGCTCATTTGTCCTCTAGATACATTTGCATTGCGCACGAGAAGAAAAGAATATTTTCATAATGCAACTAGCATACTCGGGAATTGATTAGACTAGCAATATATAGGAATAATTTGTTATTTTATCACGTTATAATTATTGTTCCAAGGTTCTTTCTCGTTACACCGCTTGAAGTTTATGATTAAATGGTAGACTATAAGATCAAACGCGCGCGTGCACGTATTATTCATATAATTCCGCAGACGACATTTCACTATTTACTATTCATTTACTAATACAAATGACAGCGTTGATTATATCAATAAAACAGAATATATTAGTGATAAATTACATAATAACAGAAAATTGCTACAAAGAATATACAACGAGGCAATGATATGATAATTTTGATAATTAGCGACATTTTTATTATACACAGAAGAAAAGTAGTATAAAATGTTGCACTAAACTCTTTATTTATACTCAATATTCATTGCATAATAATTGTAATACTATTTTGTAAATTCCATTGCCAATTATGTTCTTTATATGTAAGTTAATGAAGACAGAATTACTATTTATATGAGTACAATTATTCCAAGCAATTTCCATATAATAATCACGAGACTTTTGAAGATGAAGTGATCAGCAAAATTTGCACTGATAAAAAATGTCGCATAATTTCTCCATTTATAATATATTTCGTAATATATTACGTAACACGGCGCCAAGCAAGTACTATTAAACACAAATATAAACAAAAGAGTAAAAGAGAAAGAGTATTACAATTTTTCATCGTTTAAGTTTTTTATGTAAAATTGCATGCAAGATATTAAATGTTTACAAAGTAGTATATTTTTGTATTACTGTTTTTTTTAAAATACTTACTTTCCATTTTTCTACATCATCTTTTTGACAAGAAAATTTTTCGCCATATTTTCCCCAAAATGAGGGTTTTCCTTTTGCGTTGGCGCCCCCCTTTGCGGTTTTCTGTAAACAAATAAAAATATTATTTTTTTAAAATTATCCCCCCTTTTATTATTTTTGACCCAAGGGGGAAAATCCCCTTTTACCCCCCCTATCGCGTTTTATTTGTCCCCCCCTTGCGTTAAAAAAAGCTTTTAAAAAGTTACACGGGGTCTTGGGGCCCAATTACGCCCACCTGGGAAATAATAGACGCTTTTCCTTTTCCTCTGACCATCTTTTTGCACCCCTATAAAGAATTTTGGGAAAATGTTTTATACCCTTTGGGTTTTTTAAATAACAAAACTATAAGATTAGGTAAATTTAATCAAAGGCCATTAAGTGCTTATACTTAAAAAACATGTTTTACTTTCAAATATATAAAAAATATACATATTTATACTGCAATGGATTGCTATTGAAGGGAAGAAGAGACCAGAACAATAGTAATAATTTATGTGGTGGGTAATAAGGTTAAAATGCAAATTGTACAAAAGTATTTATATCTGAGGTGTTTGTTGATACATTTGGCCTGTTGGCGTATTTTTCGATAAAAATGACGTCGCTTTAACCCTTACCATGACAAATATATTAAATGGGCTTATCCTTCTTTCAATCTGGACAGAACCATTCATCATTGTTTAGGGAAAATCTCAAATTGTGTAAAGACAGAGAAGCAAATAGTGAGACCATGATGATCAGACGCTGATCTTTGTTTTAAATGGTCACATTGGTATCAGTTGCCACGGTTACAATTACACCAAAGACGTCGCTGATCCATGCTGAATTATAGCATTTTTAAATATTGTAGATAACAGATTATTCAAATGATTTACATTTCTTCTTATTTTATGTCAGATATAACTACATGTAATTTACTACAATCGGTTGTGAATTTAGTATTTAAGAATTTCACTCTAAAAAATACTCAGCTATGACATATTTGTAAATGGGGACATATGAATTTTGAGAGGCATGGTACAGCTATATTTCATTACTTAAAATCATGTAACGTGTCTGACTAGATTTAAAAACTAGATACCAAGTTGAAGGTTGCTGGTTTGAATCTTCCTTAGGCAATATTTGTTCCAGTATTCTTTCTATGTTTAATAACGAACATGTTGAATAATTGTTGAATCTTAATATATTCCATTCTAAAATAAGGATAAAAATGTCGTTAAAATAATAGATAAATAAATAAATCTTTTATATCAAACTTGTGTAATGTCGATTTAAAACCCATGCCCGCGCACGCACGCACACACGTACACTTTTTTAAAAACAAATTTAACAAATGTATTTCAGCCCCCCAATATCACAGGTGGCAGTATTAGTATTTGGACACCCCACCCCATCCCGTCCCTGGACTTCTGCTACAGCTTACTATAAGATACCAAATACAAAACCACCGAAAAGAAAAATTAAAAAAAAAATCACTATCAAAATTATAGTTTTAGATCTAGTATATATATAGTTTTTATCCAAACACTGACGCTGCCACATGTGCCCAATATTTTGAGTTCAATTCTGCTTTTCTTTGGAACTATTTGACACAAGACTAGTAGTATCTATTTTTTATTGCAAAGACAAACTACTGATATGATATACACGTATATACATTAAAAAAAAATAATAAAAACAAATCGAAAATAAAAGTAAGTGTAAACAAATTATTTATATATTGTAATTCTTTTCATTTTAGTGTATTCATTATAAATCAACATGTACACGATAGGCTGCGGACACTAAATTTATCAGATCAGTGATTCATTTAGTCGCGTGCCACTAACGGTAATTTAAACTAATTCATACACGGCTATATTAGATCTTTATCTTTTACGTACTTTAGCCATTAAACCATAATAAAATCCTAATAAACACTTCTAATTAGTACGATGTTTAGATTTAAACGTTAATAATTAAACAATTTAATGCGATCACATTTCGGACGATGGCTACTATCAAGATATGGGAGAGATACCGTTTGGCCATGTGGCTTAAAATGCTTAACTTTTAATTTCTGTTAATGTCTTTACGAGAGGGATCAAAGTGACCGCCTTGTAGCGTCACCAGGTTTTAATTGGTCTTTGACTGATATTTGAATACAGATGAAAGAGCACGTGGAATTAATTGTAGACTAAACTCCATGTCCGACAAATTGATGCGCATCTGTTATGTATCTAGTGATTGTGATTAACGGTTAATATTTATGAGGAAATTTTCAAATCAAAATGCTCCGCAGGTTGCCCGTATTTATATTAGTAATAGCCAATAAAGACAACAATTTCCATATATTTTTGACACGAATTTTTGATGAAATGTGAAACTCGTGACTGTAAGAAATACTAACATAAAAATAATGAATTTCCAGGTGTAGGATATTCAGATAGGTCGGTTCACAGTTAGTAAAAAATTCTGAAACAACTTTCGAATTATAATACTGTAAAGATAACGTATGTGTGTTTAACAGAAAACTGTAACATAGGACGTATAATGATTCTTTTCTTTACAAAAGAACGTAATCATTTTAAAATAGCATCATTCTGCAGTTGAAGTTATTATTAGGAAAGTAAGACTCACGGTAGCGGTACTTCTACTGAGTCACCGCCGTGGGAATCAAAATCAATTGCTCCGCCTTTTCAACGCTCATGAATATTAATTCCCTGTCAATACAAATCTGCGACATCAATCGCTTTCAATCGCTGTAGTGTTTACAAACATTGCACGCGCTAAAGTTCCAGCGTGGTTATTGGCAGAAGTGTTAGCTCCGCCCCACTGTTTAAATAAGTAAATATTTTCACGGATAATCATTCTTACGCACTACCTTGGTAGTAACTAGTAATACGTCTAGACAAGATATCAGAATACATTAGAACAGAAGAAAAACAGATAGTGATCGTGAAAGAATATATTTACGATAAGTTTAAAAACAACTGTGTTGTTATTGGATTTAAATGTGATAGTTGCGAAATATATTTAGATCTTTCTGGATTTATTAAGAAAAAGTGAATTTAACCGGATTGATAGATTGACTGATAAATAATTAAATTTACGGAACATATTAAAAGTAGTAGTAAGTATTTTTTAGTTTTCGGAATTTAATAAGTCTCTATTTACAATATGCTGATTTTGGTGTTTTATTTACAACGTAGATAGTTATGTTACATGTTTGCACGTAGTATAATATATTTATAAAACACACTTAAATGTACTATCGTTAACCTTATCAAACTAATGATTAAATTGTGGTATACAATGTGGACCTATATTAAAACGTTGAAAGATTCATTTTTCAATACGAATTCAATATTAGGATGATTTATAAGACATTTTGGCTGTCATTATTTTTAACACTCATTCCCATATTCTATATGTGAAGATGTGGTTGTGTGTATACGTATAAAACATGCTATGTGTATTTTAAAAGTGCACTTAATAATATTGAAGGTTAAGGTTCAAATTTAGTTACTAATTTGAAGTTCAATTCCGAACATTAAAGAGAGAAAAAGTTTTTTTGAGAGAAAATGCTATGTTTTTATGTTGTTGTTTTTTTTTTGCCTTAGACAAATGTATCAATGTTCACAAACGACAAACGTTGTATATATCTATTTTGAGATTGAAAGTCAACTAATTAATTACTAATTTTCTTGTTTCAAATATTTTTCCAGGTACCTTTTTTAATGGACAATTAATTTTAACTATGCAGCAAATGTTGACGTCAAAAGATTTAACAGAAGATCGGAAACACCCGTCGGCATTTCAGCCCGTCGGCGGTGTGTTAAAATCGCCGACGGCGGTCGGGAAAAAGAGAGACAGTGGATATGGTTCGGACTTTTCTCCTGCGGGTCAAAAATCTCAGACCAGAATGTTTACATTTGACGACTCCGATATGGAATCGGAAATTTGTGATGCATTTGATGATATCGATATAAGTGCAGACGAAGATGTGTTTGTTGACCATTTTGAACCTTTAATTGAAGTGATAGACGAATGTGATGAAAGTGATGAGACTGATAAAGAAGTTGAGGAGTTGTTTGAAGAACATCACGAGGAACACACTGTTACCGGAAGTGTGCCAATATGCCGACCACAGGCCCCATTACCGACACCGGAAGTTGATGATGAGAGAGATTCAACGGAGCTCTGTTTGATCTCCTCACCTTTTTATCATACAAACTGGAATAATATTGACAGATTTATATGCAAAAATCCATTCCGTCCTATAGTGAGCCGCAGTGTTGGAACTCAAACTCCAAACCCACACTGTCAGCTAGTCCAGGATGCCCTGCGCTCAAAACAGATTGCACTTACGAGAGGTAAGATTATTTTTTTATGTTGTTTCCATTCTTATACAGCAGACGATATACCATTTGTTATAAACAGCTGCTGCAAACTGTCGTCTGGTTATCAGGTGGTCTAAAAGAAGTTCGTCTGCCTCTTTCCGTACTTTTATAAACAGAAGTTCGTATAAATGTAGTTCTACGACAGTCTGTTTCCATATTACATTGTATATGGAAATGTTCTCTAAATCGAAACTTGTTTGTTATTTTGGTGAATTTACTAGTTAATGATTTCAAAGCGTTTCTAATATGAACATTACAATGTAACCTCCGCAGAGCGACCCTCTGTAGAGCACTTACCTCTTTACAAGAACAGTTTCAGTTCTTTTCATAGTAAGACTTTACTGTAAATTTAACCTCTCTAGAGCGCACCCTCTCAGCAACTACCAAAGAATATTGCTATGCAGAGGTTGTATACTAATGTTAATATCTCCGTAATCCTCCCAGTAACCTTTATTTTCAAAACGATATTTGAGCCGCGTCACGACAAAACCAACATAATGGGTTTTGCGACCAGCATGGATCCAGACCAGCCTGTGCATCCGCGCAGTCTGATCAGGATCCATGCTGTTCGCCATCAGTTACTCTACTTGTAATAGGGTTGGTAAGCAAACAGCATGGATCCTGATCAGACTGCGCGAATGCGCAGGCTGGTCTGGATCCATGCTGGTCGCAAACCCATTATTTTGGTTTTGTCGTGACGCGGCTCATTTTAATACCATTTACCAATTCTTTGAAATTATAGGTATACTTTCATTGACAATTACGTATGAATTTTGTCTACTGACTAATTGAAGTTGGATAATCACATACTGTTAAATTCCACATCAAAGAGCTCATTAAATCCGTTTTATAGTTCATATATAGAGGCGTGTCACTCAAGTGGATAGTGTTTGTACTTAATAACCTATCACATCGTATTTGTATAATTCTTAGCACACAGTGGGCATTTAGTGCATGTCTCAGAATTAGTTTATCAGAAATTACAATTTTATTATATTCATACTTCATCGAGGCAAATTAACGATAATGTTATTTTTGTTCTGAAACTGTAATTATATTCGGATAGGTTATAGTGGGAATTTTTCTTTAAAGTGTGTTTTTGAATTACATACAGATTAAAGTGTGATTATTTAATTATATGAGATAAAATAATTAAGGCTATATAATAAGCAATTTAAGATAAATATTCTTTGTGTATTCGTCTGCAAAATAGACTAGATTTTGTCTTGCGAAGTAAGACATAAAAATAAATAATTGATTTGATAATGGCATCGTGAAATAAACATACTGATCAAATTGTAGTTTATGTTAATTTTACCATTGCCAACCATAACAGATACCTTGTCCTGTTTTTTCTTAAAGATATGCCCAGGTGCATCAAATTACGGGATATTCCCGCAACTGGATTTTTAAATGCCAGACTATCAAAATAATCGTACAAATATTTACTTTTTACAACTGAAATGTTTACGATAGTTAAAATCGGCAGTGTGTCAGTTGTCAAAAGATGACATTTAAAGTTTTCCCCTACTTTTTCTCTTCTAACAGGACGTCTGCGTTTGCAGTCAAACAACGAACAAGTTTTCTGTCCGTTACCGGATGTAGTTCCAATGTCACGTGATCGTTCAATCAGTCTACCGGATGTGCAATCATTCCACGAGCACGAACAACATGTCGGCCGTGAACTTCGAAGGATCAGTGATGACTTCCATTCCGTGTACCTCAGACGATATAAAAGAAGAGTAAGTGCAAAAACTTATAAATAGAACCATTATTTCATTGTCTATTTTGTTTTTTGGAAAAAAAAGGAAATATACTGTCTTACACATATAACACAAACACACGTTAATGTATACAAGTATATACAAGTAAAAAAAGCAATATTTTTAATACAAATACCAAAAGATCTTGTCTCCAAAAATCAGACAAAATTTTATGAATATTCTACTATTTCTGCAGTTGTAACTTTGTCTTGATATATAATCTTTAATATATGCGATAACGCACTGAAGTATTAAAAGCGATTACAGGGGGCTGTATTTGAAAAATAACCTCAGCGTTGTTTATTTTCATAGTAAAATAGAGGTATATTATAGTAAAATATTCGCCTGGTTTTATTAAACAAGAAAGAAACCGGACTTTCGTTTATGATATACAAACGTTTAATAATTTGATATATATTCAGATACAATATTTACAAATATTACAGTAGCATCTCATTCAGTTGAAGGTGTGATCATGTTTTATTTGGCACACACCCTCCAGTCTATACCACACGCGTTTATTACATTTATTTTCCGTTAAAAAACCCCTATCCATAACTTGAAAGGTCCATATGTCCGCTGATAGGCTACCTGCCGTTTATGGGCGTTACCCTCGCCATATTTAGCCCCGCTAACAGGATATCCAGTGTGGTTATAGTGAAATATAACAGCGCGTGATTAAATAATGAAATATTGATCACAAACACGACAACACACTGATCTCCACTTAATGAAGCGAAAAACCTCGTAATGACATCAGAAAATCATTGCAGATGTAATCTGTAGGAGATATTACATTAATTTATCTAAATGAGCTATAATTTCCCCACTCTTTATGGTCCATGTATGGAACGGTTCCAAAGTGTTTCTCTTAATTTGTTGACCTTTTAAGTTACACTTATTTTGATTTGATGACTAAATAAGAGAAATGGAAAAATCGAATCTCCTGGATTGTTTTTACGCAATTAATGTGTGTAACTATTGTATTGACGGACTAGTGCCTTGTTATTAATCGCTTGGTTTTTTTACGCTGTGAAAATATCAGATATCGTGCGTTTAATTAAAGTACGGACCACCACTCGATAAATGAAGTAATGATCTTTTAATAAACCCAACTTATCATTTATAAATTAGCGTAGTTAAGTCGGATGATAACGTCATTCGGACACTGCTAGGACATGATTTAAAACTGCTTTAAATTGCCAAAATGACCATTTTGATTGATATAATGTTATTAAAGTACACTAACGCTTGTGTGTCTGTCAAAATAATCTCAATTATAATATCATCATCATCACAATAATCATCATCACCAGCAACAACAAAAATCAGTCTGAACATCAACAACAGTAGCAGCAGCAGCAACAACAACAACAAATATAATTGTACATGTAATAATATATAAACAACTATGCCAGGAAATGGGTTACTACCTTTTAAGTTAACTTTATTTTAATGACAAAACTGAATAATTATGTATCAAACAAATAACGAAAAATGAAGAATAAGACTCTCTTTTTTGTTTTGCTAGGTAATAATTAGTATTCTTATGTGTATTTCTTCTCAATTTCAGCAAAGGACAAGGTCCGAAGAGCCGAGATTTACTGTTGATCTTCCGGGCTGCTGGAACAGCCTACGAAGGTTCGTGTCCAGTAGTCCGATATTCCAGGCCTGGTCTGGAGACAATCACTGACCAGTTCTGATTCGTTCATGGGAATAACACCATGGCATGAATTCATCATCCGATTGCACGCCTCATCACCGAGACAAAGACTTGGTAAAAGACCCTGCAACGCTTCCGTACTGGTCCTCGAACGATATACGGACGGCGAGGTGAGGTGTCCGCTAAAACACTCTTATGAGAGACATGGGGAACACTAAGGAGAAACGAAAACAATCGCAAAGTCCTCCATTACACATATATATGCATAACATTCTTGGGGACAGATGTGTTTTGCCTTACAAGACTCATTTACATAGGGCGTGGCTTCGAGAGAGCAGCCCGTAGCCATTTAATGTTGTTATTAACTCAACCCAAATCAGCCATACAACGCGAGTGCATTTATTACTTTATTTAAAAAAAAAACATCATCATATAAAAACAACAACATTTTACTGTGACTTGGATTACAGCTTGAAACAGGATGGAGAACATAATTTACAACTTCTCTAATCATTCATTACCTCGGGTGATTGCCCTTTTTACCTTATTTTAGACCATGCTTTATGTAGACATATGAATAGCATTTATATACACAACTAAACTAGCACTTATTTTATTTCCATTTTTCAAATTTATACAAAATTTATGTAATTTACTTCCATTAATTTTAAACAATGCACGTAATTTCAGATAAGTAGTTAAACCTGCGAAAGTATATAAGTTTATCCGAAAACTGCATACTTTTCTGTAAAAATACATAAGGCTTGCATTTCTTTTTTGGTTACTTGTCAATTGCGTTGTTTTAAACCAATCTTTATTTCTGTCAAACGCACCTGTTGCCGATTACCAGCTATTCACATTAAAATAAACAATGGTTTTCTGGTGTCACAGGGTACATATATTTTATCTTATTGGTTAGAAATATGGCGCTAGAAAACACTACGCCATTTCTTTTTTTATTATTTATATTACATCATAATTATGTCTAAATGTAAAACATAACTTTGTCATACCCTTGAATGAACAAACTACGTTTTACTTTTAAGAACGTCTGCACGCAAGTTAATTAACAAATATCTCAATTAAATGCACGTGCCTCTATCTTTCAAAATTGAACTTGGTGCCTCTATCTTTCAAAATTGAACTTGGTTCATAAACTCTCAAACTATCCAGAAATTATTAATTTTATTGTTGAATTTTTTTTTTTTAAAAAGACATTTTTACCGTTTCAAGATATTTTAAGATGGTCTTAATTAAAAAAAAATTATGTATAGTCCAGTGCATGCAAATGATTTATTAATTTGAATAAGTATGAGGGTCAGTCTAGTGGCTACGAACGTGTGTGGCTTCTTGACAGAAATTTAGAGACCATGTATAATAATTTTGTGTCGGAAAAAATACATTTTATTTGATATACAAAATGTAAAACACCAAATTTTTGTTTCTTGAACAAATGTAATCCACGGTAACACAGTAAATCCACTATTTTGGCTGGGCTTCTAAGTTTTGTTCAACACATGTTTATTATTCTCTGTTTGTTTTAATTTTGTATTTGTAAATATGTGTTAGGAACTATTGTTCATTTATATAAAAGGTTTTCAAATGATCTCAAATGACGGTGGGTCCCTTTTTAGTCAAATTATAGAGGGAAAGATGTATATATTGTAGTTTTGTATAAAAAAGGTGAAATATACAAAATAATGTATTTTATTTATTTCTTTTTTTTTCTTGACTTGCCATATTTTCCACATCCTGTCTCATGAATTAGAAAATCTTAGTCATTATCAACCTGGGGTAGTGTAGATTAAATGTTTAAGTTTATTTATAATTGGGATTTCAATGTACATGTATAACTAGCATTTCCTTTTATTAAATTTTGTATTTTGATTTGAGCTTTCATATGTTTATTTGATGCGATTCCAATTTTGTATTGCTTTCACTTGTTGTTTTTGCCATTTTTGTGGCGTTTTACATTTTTTATGTAAGAAATGTTCATATTATAACGAAGTCTGCTCATAGACTAATGTTTAAACCCCCTGAATTTGTGAAATGAATTTGTCATGCTTTCAATTTGGATCAGTCAGTTCAAAGGGGGGGGGGGTTTCAATAGCAAAAAACAAAAAAATGAGCTGGTCAGGGGTTTTGATTATAAAGGGTTAAGATATTAGATTAAAAGTGTATTCAAATTGTTTTAATCAATTTAATAACCATTTTTTGTTTTCAAATAGCCAATAATGATTTTATATTAATACAAGTTTTGTCCCTAGTAATGCACGTGTCGGGTTAAATCACGTGCAATGGCGATATGGCGATTAATCTTTTTTTTTTTAATAACGCCAGTATTTTAATTTTTAAAATTTTAAACGCATTTATTAAACATTTTTACTTTAATTTGGCAATAGTTGGTGCAGAATATTAGTCCTAAAATATATTATTGGTGCATATTCATTTGTAAAATGAGCCGCGTCACGACAAAACCAACATAGTGCGTTTGCGACCAGCATGGATACAGACCAACCTGCGCATCCGCGCAGTCTGATCAGGATCCATGCTGTTCGCTTACAAACCCTATTACAAGTAGAGAAACTGATAGCGAACAGCATGGATCCTGACCGGACTGCGCAGGCTGGTCTGGATCCATGCTGGTCGTAGACCCATTATGTTGGTTTTCGCGTGACGTGACTCAAATCATTTTCAAAAATCTTATCATGGTACATACATTGTGATTATAATATTAATAGTACTTGTTTCAAATCTCAGAAATAACAGAAAAATAAAAATGTTATTAATTGAGTCCATACTCTATACATTCTGTTATTTTCCCCCTTTTTTCTTTTGAAAGATTCATAAATAAGCATTACTTGCAATGTTTATTTATACCTATGCTCATGATTTACATGTTAACTCGATTTCAAATGAAAAAAAAAATAGTCAGGGCTATAAAAGTATGCACTATTCATGTTTCCTTTTAATTTGGTGGAACTAATTCGACTTTATGTAACTAAAATATACCCGACGCATTAATATAATTCTTTATTTTTAAGTCTAAACTCGTATTTCTCATTCCCTTTCATACTTTTCACTGTGCATTTACTTGTATTTCTTATTGGATCCAGCATATAAAAAATAAAGCACATTTTCATATCTGTCATTTTTGTGTCGTCTGCTACAGGAAAAGTACAAATTTCATCATTATGCAAATCATTATCTGACTGCTTATCAATTGCACTTATTGTCTTTCATTATTTGCCTTAAATTCTTTATCAAATATTTTCTACAAAAATTAAATAAATGAATAAAATAAATAAATAAAAAAATAAATAAATAAAATAAAACAAATTTTGAAAAAATGTAAAGGTTATAAAATCAGTATTTGCGTTGTTGTACAATCAATCTCTTTATAAAATTTTCTAGATAGGTGATGATTATTATTATGATGATGATGATAATGATGATGAAACTCTGGGAATTATTGTCATGTTTATAGGAAGGTTGAAAATTGAAAAATAAAGAAAAAAAATGAATTTATCCTAAGTTGTTTTGTTTTGTTCTTTTATATTGTATATTGATATTTTCAATGATGATGGCTTACAGCTAAAGAGTTTTTAAACTTTTTATATGGTACCCTTAAAAAAATTCCACCTCTTGTAAAAACTAACATAGACTCTTTTAGAATCATATTTATCCCAGTTATATAAAATATGAAAAGTACTACCACTGAAATAAAACGTTTGCTACAGTCTTCGTAAGGACATACGGACAGAAAAAAAACCATTTCATAGAATTTAAAACAGTTGTCACAAATTTTATTAGTTATTTGCTCCTGAATTAGTTTTACATACTTTATGTCTATATGAAAACTGCTGCAACTGTCTTGAAAAAAATACATCTTTACAGAACATTTTACATGTATTACGGACATTTGCATCCCCGTTCTTACCCCCTCACTCTGGAACACATCCAAGGTAATGTAAGCATGTGAAAAATAAAAATTCAGATATCAATACATGCATTGAAATTGGATCATGTTTTTAATACTCAATTTGACATAATTTGACATAAATTTAGGGAATATCGAAGATTATATAAATTCTAAAGGGCAAATGTTCACCTTAAATTATCAACTATGGAAGGCGGTAGGGTTAAAAGCCAAGAATACATTTTTTTTATTTTCGACTGGCGGGGGTACTGAAAGCAAATGTCCCAGCTTATTTTGCATTTTTATAGAGTCTGATGCATGTATATCACCTTTACAATGTAAAGGTAAAGGTCGTATGTGCACTTTCCAGCTTTACTGGCAGAGGAAGACCTTAGGTGCCCTTATGTGCATTATTTCAGGCACGAGCGATTACCCGAGCAGGACCACATGTTACCCGTAAGCTATCTAGATAACGCTCTTACATAAAAAAATCCAAAGACTCTGGCAAGATTCGAATCTGTAGCGACAAGGGGCAAGTGATTTGAAGCAAGCAACAGTAAGCGCTCACCCACTGAGTCCCTGGACTATAATTATATATGCTCAAATAAAAATACTTTGCTAACTCACTCAAACTGGTCAAGAAAGTCATCATTTTAACTCTCTGAATAACTTAAAGCTGCCTATTTCTAATTAGGAAAAAATATTTATATTCTATTCAATCAAATTATTGAGTTGTATTCTATTCTATCAAATTATTGAGTTGTATTCATTCCCTACCATTATTGTATGAATAGCACGAACGTTTTCAACAGTATTAAGACGAAAGCATAAAAATGTGGTACCCCGTTATGATCATCGCGACACAACAACAAATTACATCGAGTGTACACCATCGTGTTTTCGTTATTCCGACTTTTCACCATTGTATTTTCGTGTTTTTTGTTGTTTTTTTGTTTGTTTTTGTTTCGAGTCAAATGTGTGTGGCAATGGTCCTATCGGGACACCGTATAAAAATAATAAATGTGAATTCTTATCAACATCAAACTGTCTCAACAAAAGGTAGACGAAGTTGACGAGTTTTATGACATTTATCTTTAAAAAAAACTTGTCAGATCAAGATTATATATCAGATAAACGACAACTAAACAGACTGTTACATGGGGGCTACGATCACTATGTCTATCGCTTCTTAATATAATACGCATTTTCATGACCTTTGAGTTGATAGCCTAGAAAAATCAAATTCTTATATTCTAAAAACAGATACTTCAGGAAGAATAAAATTTCAAGTCCTTTTTGTAACGGTGGTCACAATCTCCATCAGTAACTATTGTTCAAATCATAAGCTTACTTAATGGACACTGAGATATATTTTCATATTACTGATGCAAAGGCTTTCATTTGGAAGACTTGAAATGCCCTTACTGATACAATGATTTTATTGTCTTTTTTGTTGTTTTTCTTTTTTTAAAGAAAATAAAAATTAAAACGCCCTTATCCAAATTAATTG